TATTAATGTTTTCTGCCTTGTCCCAGAATTCCTTTCAATTGTCTAGGGATTGGTAAGGATTTGTTCCAGTGCTTTTATACCAACATAACCCCACCAAATCGAACTATTCGCAGCTCGTACTTTTCTCGTGGCTCCAACAGCCTGCAGGGGTTTCTGGCTGCCACACTTTGGTTTTGCTTTCTGAATTTATTGTCAGGGTGGATATACATGGAGTATACCCTACCACTTGAGTGTATTCTTTTCCTTCTCTGCTAATGCAGAGAGTTTCAATGATCCTGTCATCCAAAACTCACCCCCCGGGTCTTGGCATGATTTTTGAGGTTTGCATGTCATCCCATTTTAGGAGCTGCTCTGGAGCTAATCCTTCCCCTTTCCATGGCCACTTTTCTGCCGATTTCAACCCCCCCACATATCCAGCACTTTGTGAGTTCAAGTTCTGTGGCAATCTCTTGCATCAAATCTATAAGTAAATTTTTATTTGATGCTGGTAAGCTCCATGCATTATATTGTTTTTCCAATTGTTCATATTGCTCACTCAGGGTTTTTAGCCTTTCTTGTTCTAATCTTTTCTTTCTAGCCTCTGCCTCCCGTCTTTTTAGTTCCATTGACACCTATTGTATTTTCTTTTCTGGTTCCATCCCTTCCTTATCCCTTGAAAAACAAAAGGTCTCTTCAAATTTTAAACATACTCTTTCATAATTCTCCTTTAAGAGATCTAACACGACAGGATCACTACTGGATGTTAGCTTCCCAAATTTTAAGTTTTTCCCACCCAATAGGCTTTCCCGTTCATCATGCACATTTCTAGCTTACTCTTATCATAATATAATTCGTTAACCTGGAAGTAGGACATGAAAATGGAATCTTTCCTACCTCCAACCCAGACGGTGCGGTTGCAATGTTGGCAAACTGGGATGTCCACTATCTGCTTAAGATCTCGTTTATGTCTTAGATGGTTTTTTATTTTTTTCCTTAGAGAGAAACTTGACCAATTTTTTTAGCTCTCACAACAGGATTATGACAAATTGTCTTTCCTTCCCATTCACATATTTTAAGCCGAGTGTCATTGTATCTGCAATCTCTGCTCTCTGCGTTTTCTGGACAGTGATTCGAGGTTTGGTGTATCTTTTGTGCTGTCTCCCTCTGTTCCTTTAAGACCATTTTGAGGCACAATTTACATTTATCCATCAGGGCCTGTGTTTCAGCGCTCTGCAGCTTCTCTGAATGCAGGTCACCCGTCAAGTACAGGGCTAGGCTCAGGATTGTCAGGATCACCCACAGGTATGTTCCTCTGCTTTTCCCTTCGCCCACCGGGTTGCAGCTGGCAGTGGGGTAAGCCATCTTCCTGGCAGCAAGAATACCTTCCTGAGATATCATGGCCTGATCAAGCTGCGTACCGTCTCTTAAAGGCACCTCACCTAGATAGTTTCACAGCTTCAGCAGAACAGGGAGTTTTGCTTTCTTTCCGGCACTCGATTGCTAAAACTTGTGCTTGTGAATCCAATTTTCCCCTTATCTCCTTTTTGTATAACTGATACCCAAACCACAGTGGAGAATCCAACTCTAGTAAGCCTAGATTTGTAGCGAGCACTAAGATAAAACTGGTCAAGTTTTGCTCTGCCTCTAAACACTTAAAACACAATCCTGGTCTGTTCCCTCTTTTGCAATGCACCACCCAAATCTCGTTACAATAGTTACACTTAAAATGTATAAATGGATAACAAGGACATTTGGGATTTGAACAACTTATGGTGCATTCTTCGGACATTGGTGTCACTGTAGTTTTATCCTCAAGTCTCCAGGAGAGGAGGTTATTCTCTACTCGGACTCCTTCTCTGGTTCTATTTTCTTTACTCACAATGCATGCATCCAACCCTTTTCTGCAGTGCAACAGCTGTATCAGTGGTCAGTAAAACGAGGAACAGGCTTTCCCAGCGAGGAGCTAGCAGGACTTCCTTCCAGGTCTTGTCTCCAGGTTGAATGTGGTGGATTGAGAATCCTAAGGGAGTGCTTTGGGTTATAAATCCTCTCTTCTGTAATTCCTGCAAATTTTGGTTAATGGTTATTAAATATGGTTGTAATTGATTATCTTCAATGTTGGGGTGATTGACTGGCATCCCATGCCTGTAGGGCATCCCATATAGCATCTCAAAGGGGGATAACCCCACCTCTGAGTGTGGTTTTGTTCTAATATTTAGTAGAGCCAAAGGGAGGCATTTGACTCAGGACATTTTTGTCTCTAACATTGACAGATGATTTTTCAAAGTCTGATTCATTCTTTCTACTCTCCCTGTGCTCTGAGGGTGCCAAGGGGTGTGATATTCCCACCTGATTCCTAAAGCTTCTACTAATTGTTTAATAACTTTTGAGGTAAAGTGTGTGCCTTGGTCCAAATTGATTTAATCTACTATACCATATCTGGGTATTATTTCTTCTAGGATTACCTTGGAGACTACTTGGGCAGTTGCCTGTGCACTGGGAAAAGCCTCCACCCACCATGTTATTTGATCTACTATTACCAATAGATATTTATATCTCCCTACCTTAGGTAATTCAGTAAAATCAACTTGGATTCTTTCAAACGGTCTGTATGCCACCGACCATCCCCCTAGGGGCACCTGTCATGCCCTAGTTTGATTTATTTTTCTGCATATGGTACACCCAAGTATCTCTTGTTTTGCTATTTCATAAATTCCCTTGCACCCAAAAAACTTCAAAAATTGTTCAGATAGGGCTTGTGTTCCCCAATGTATCTGTTGGTGCAGTCTGTTCAGGATCTTTCTTGCATATTCTTTGGATACTAATTCTCTGCCATCTGGCAGCCTCCACCTTCCATCTATCAATTGACCTCCTATTTTTTCAAAGTTTTCTATTTCTTTTTGTGAGGGTCTGCCCTGATAGTTCAGTGGTTCTTTTTCTATTATTTCTGGGGTATTTATTAAAAGGAGGTCAGCCCTTTTGCTTCTTGATCTGCCAAATTATTCCCTCTAGTTCAAAATTGCATTCCCACCAGGTGGCTTTTTACATGGACAATGAAAATCGCCTCAGGACCTCTAATTACCTCTAGGATCTGTCATATCAATTCATGTATCAGTTCTTTTTCCCAGGTGCTCACTAGCCCACTCTCTTCCCAGATTTTTCCAAAAGTGTGCACCAACCCGTAAGCATACTTGGGGCCCGTGAACACAGTTCCCTTTTTTCCTTTTAATTTCCTTAGTGCTTGCAGTACTGCGCATAATTCACATGCTTAAGCCGACCAAGAAGCGCTTAAAACTCCTGATTTGATTATTTAGCCTGATTTGCCATCTATGACCACATACCCCGACCTCCTTTTCCCTTCAACTACCTCTGCTGAACCATTCACAAACCATTTTTCCCCTTCCTCTAATCCCTCTTCTTCCAAATCAGGTCTTATTTTTGTCTGGAATTCAATTAGATTTGCACAATCATGTCTTGGGCTTTCCTTTGCTTCTCCAAACAAAAACTGAGCTGGATTTAGAGCTGCTGTGGTCTTCAACCCCAACCCTGGGGAGTTAATCAATATTGCTTCGTATTTCAGAAGCCTGGCATCGGTGAGCCATTTATCCACTTTTTGCTGTAATATACTCCTTACATTGCAAGGAGTATACACTACCAGGAGAGCCCCGAAGGTTATTTTCTTTGCCTCTTCTACCAGTAAAGCTACTGCCACAATTGCCTGTAGACAAGTTGGCCATCCCCTGCTTACAGGGTCCAGTAGTTTGGAAACATATGCTTCAGGTTTTTTACTCCAGCCCAATCCTGTGTCAATACTCCACGGGCCCGTGTGATTGTTAACGTCTATAAAGATTTGAAATGGCCTTTTTACATCTGGTAAGCTTAATACAGGTGCTGTTATCAATGCTTCCTTTAGTTCTATTATCTTGTTCTGTTCACCTCAGCTTACCTGTAGTCAGCTTCTTGTACAAGAATTTCACTTTCTGGCTATATCTCTCAATCCACTGCCGGCAGTACCTGAATAACTCCAACAGCTGCCTGATTTCTCTTTTGGTTTGTGGAGGAGGGAGTTCTAGGATACACGCTACTCGTTTGGGATCCAGTTTCTTTTTCCCTATTGTAATCCAGTGTCCCAAATACTTTACCTCCTGTTCCGTAAACTGCAGCTTTGACCTGTATACCTATAACCCTTTGTCTCTCAAGAAATTTAGCAGAGCTATGGTGCAAGACCTCACCTCCTCTTCCTTTTCCCCTGCTACCAATAAATCATCCACATACTGCAATATCTTGGTACCTTCCATTGGGGTGAACTGGCTTAGTAATTGTTCTAAGGCTTGACCTAATAAATTTGGGCTTTCAACAAAACCTTGTGGTAGAGATGTCCACCTGAGCTGCTGTTTTCTGTGCATCTCTGAGTCTTCCCACTGAAATGCAAAGTAATCCTGGCTGTTTTCGGCTAGGGGGCAAGCCCAGAAAGAGTCCTTGAGATCTATTGTGCTATACCATGTGTCCTTTTGGGACAGCTGGCTTAGAAGCATATGGGGATCAGCTACCATGGGGAACCGTGTCTTCATCCTTTCATTCACCGCTCTGAGGTCTTGCACCAATTGGTAACTTCCATCTGCTTTTCGCACTCCAAGTATAGGGGTGTTGTGTCTGGACATGCATGGTTCTAGGGTCCCTCTTGCTATTAAATCATCAATTATAGGTTTTAACTCCTTTTTTCCTTCCATGGGAATAGGATATTGCCTTATCCTTATGGGGTCCTCTGGTCTGTCTATTTCAATTACTATAGGTTCCATTTCCACTCTTCCTGCTTCCCCTGGGGTATGCCAAACACTAGGATTTATTTCTTTTTCATCTTTAGCTGATAGCTTATATAAATTTACTACTGTTTGTGCATCCTTTATGGATAGATTTACACCAAGGGCTACCATAAGGTCTCTCCCTAACAAATTGTAATCCACCTCCTTTACTAACAGCATATCCTTTAAACAAATTTTATAATCTGATTCTATTTCCACGTCCTTTACCACTGGAACCTTGAACGGTTCCCCTTTTGCCCTAGTTACAGTTATAGTTTCCTTGCTTTTTACGCAGCCCAGTGGCAATTTTTTAAATGTACTTTTTTCAGCCCCAGAGCCCACAAGGAACTCCATGACTTCCTTTTTGGGTCCTACGTTTATTTTCACCAAGGGCTCTCTTGATCTTCTGGACCCTAAAATAAAAAGCTCCTGGCCCTGCTAATCTTCCTGGAACATTTTTTGGTCTATTTCTTTTTGTTTACAACTGCTCACTAGATCTCCTTTTTTCTCACAGTAGTGACACAATATGTGAGCCATCCGATAGCTGAGGTCCTTTTTCTTCTGGGGCACTTGGTGTCCCTGAATATTGTCTTTTGCTGGTTTCTCTGGTTCAGGGGGACGTTCTTGTTTTTGTGCTTTTCAGACTGCAGTCACTAGCACTTTTGCTTGTATTTTCTGCTGCTCCTCTTCTCATACACACCTTCTGTGCTACTCTGAGTAGCTCTTGTAATTCTTTCTCTTACCAGTTATCTATTTTCTCCAGCTTTCTTCTAATATCCTCCCATGCCTTTCCCACAAACTGGGTTTTTAATAATACTTCTCCTATCGGAGAATTTGGATTGGTTCCCAAGTACATTTGCAAACCCTTTCTCAATCTTTCTAACCATTCAGTCGGGGTTTCATCCTTTTTTTGACATTCTCCAAATACCTTACTGATGTTTTGACCCCTCAGAACTGCTTCCCTGACCCCTGGGATTACCATATTCCTTAAGTCAATCATGCTCTGTCTCCCTTCTTCTATTTGGGCATTCCAGGTTGGTCTCTGGTTTGGCCATTTTTGTTCCCCTGGAATATCATGCAGGTTCCTCCATTCCCATTCCTGCTTGTCTTATTAACTCTCGTTCCTCATTGTTAAACAAGGATTGTGGTATGGCTATTATATCTTTTTAAGTATAGATATTGGTGCCTAAAAATTCATCTAGCCTGTCTGCCACCCCTAACACGTCATCCATGAGTTTCCCCATTTCCCTTTTGAATGCTCTTACATCTTCGGTATTAATTGGTACATGTACATATGCGAGAATACCTGGGGCAGTCAGCACTCCCTTTAGTGTGAACAAATTGTGTCTATCATCCTCGTTTTCACTGTCCTCCCAGTTTGTCTTTTTTACCTTTTGACGCATTCTCCTAACTGGTGGTGTGGAGATCCCTATCTGCAGGTTTGGTGGAGGGTTAGTGAGTGAGTTGGGAGGGCTTGCCGAGTCCAGCTCAGGTGCTGTGTGTTTGGGGGAGAGTTGGTATGAGGTGATTTTTGCCCTAATTGCTGCTGTTCTGGCGGGGGCGCTGTCGCCGTCCATGGAGGGGCTTGCGTTGCTGAAGCTGGCAAAAGCAGCTCAGTTGGGTGTGTTAGTGGCGCCGCCTGTGCCTGCCTTGGTTGTGGTATAGGCATCAGATAGGGTGGAGGAAGGTGGTCTAAAGGTTCCCACATCTCACCCTGGTTTGTGGCAGAATTATCCGTCTTCACAGGGTACATCCGAATCTCCGTCCCCTCCCACAACTCGGCGTATTCACTCTCCCCTTCTTCCTTGCTTTGCTTGCTATCTACGTCCATGCGCAAAGCCTTACACGTCCACTTTTCAAATGTTCCAAATACAGGCCATACCACAAATTTTCATATCTCTTTTCCTCCCCACAGCTCTACATAGAAATGAACCATCATTTCCTTGGATTTTCTCGTTCTTGCAGGGGACTCCTCCCAGTGTTCTAACATCCATCCCAAGGGGCTGTCTCAGGGGATGTCAGGTATGCCTTTTTCTGGTTTAACAGAAGTTTTTTCTGAGATCTTTTTCTGGATCTTGCTCTTTTTCAACCCCATATTTTTAAAACAAAAGAATCTTTCTAGAAAATAACTAAAAAAAAAAGACCCTGTACTGAGCTCTTATATATATATTTTTTCTTACTTTATGTTACCAGTTTACTGATCCAGTGGGGGACCGACCTGTATGATGTTAGACTGGTAATGAGCTCTCCTTTATACCCTTTCTGCCAGACTTTTCCAGGTAGACTTTCTTACCAAGCCTCCTGAACCTTACTGACTTTTCAGACCTGACTAGGAGGTTTACCAGTTCCTGAACTCACCGGAACATCTCCATCCTTCCTAGCCGCCTGAGATTGACCTCCGAAACTCTGCCTGGTTTCGGTCTTGACGTGAACGGGATATTTTTATTACCCTCCTGAAAAATTCTTACTAAATTTCTTGGGTTTACAATGTGATCCAAGTTTCCTTTCCCAAAACACTCCCCCTTTTTCCTCAAACCACTTGGGAGCTGGGAATTCCTCGGCGCATTCCTGGAACCTCTCCCTTTGGGTGAACCAAGTCCCTTTCCCAAGATTTCCCCCCCAAAACCACTCTTGCCCGATTTTGGGTTAACAGGAGTTGGGAATGATTCTTATGCGTTCCCGACTGGAACTTTCCCTTTGGAACTACAAGGTGAGCTGTGCTTCTTTCTCACAAAGTCCCCCTCTCCTACTGACAACTTTCCATTCTGGGTTTTTTGACAGGATTTTTTTGGGAATTTTCCACACGCTTCCCCCGTAGCCGACCGTTTCCCTCGCAGGAAGACAGAACTGCAGCCTTGGGGTCCACACTCACTTCATGATAAAATCACGTCTCATTCACGCTCAATTGCCCTGCTCAACCAGACAATACTTACGGAGCCTTTTTCTCACGTGGGTTCTTCGTGCACTCAGATTTTATGAGCAAATTTTTGCCGCGGTTTGGAAGATGTCCTTTTGGTCTTCCGGAGTTCTCAGAGAGCCCCTGAGCTAGCTCGTGACCTCTCTGGACAGTGGTTGTTTGCTGGGTGAACTTGGAGGAATAAGGGCGATGGAGACTGATTCAGAGTTCACCCAGCGCCGATCCCAGGCTCGACACTTCAACCTTAACTGTGATGTGGTTGTTTCCATAACTAAAATTTACAAATTGTTCAATAAAATTATTATTCATAAATTTGGCTGCATTTAATTTATAACAATCATCCAATCCCTGGTCAATGACAAAAAAATCTATAAATACTGGAGTCAGGAGAATAAAAGCTCTCTTTTTTCTATGACACCACTGAGACGTGTTTGTATGAATTGGTCCATGTCCTCTAGTGACACACTGCTGCTCTCCAAGGGGGTCCATCTCTGCCACTTTCCAAGCTTCATATATGCTCCTTCACACACTGGTGTCTCCTGCGTCTGAGGTGCACTCCTGGATTCTGGACTATCTTCCTCCTTCAGTTCACTCTGAGAGAAAGCAGGAGCTGGGACTCTCTGAGCCACCACCCCGTGGAAGGGCGTTGAGGCCAGGTGGGCAGCCCTGTTAAAGTCACACGTGTCCTCTGGGTTGGCACAAAGGGTCTTGTTCTTGTAGGAGCCTGTCACAATTGCATCCTCAGCCAAACATTCAATTCCACTCAGCTCACTCTGAAAAAAACCCAAAAAAGACAGTGAAAGCCTGCAGATTTTATGACTAATTTTTTCTTCAGTTAAAAGCTGGATGTTTCCCTTCCCTCTCTTCCACTTCACCTCCATCCAGCATGAACAGGACATTCAGTCTTCATGAACTCTATTTATCATAGAACCCCAGAACAGTCTGGGATGGAAGGGACCTCAAAGACCATCGCCTTCCACCCCCTCACCATGGGCAAGGACACCTTCCACACATTGCTCCAAACCCCATCCAGCCTGGCCTGGAACACTTCCTGGGACGAGGCAGCCACAGCCACAAGATGATATTTCCAGTATAATCTCATCATCACCCCTGTTCCATTACTGCCGTGCCAGGCAGCACTTTGGAAGCCTTGCTTTTACACGTGATGCCAGTCCAGCCAAGCTGACTCAGTGTGACAGCAGCACAGGCTGCCCTGGTGTCTCCTGGGCAGGAAATCTGCCATGGGCTGAACTGTTTCCTTACACAGGCGGCTGCTGCTGCTGCTGCTGCTGCTGCTGCGCTTTCCTTGGCACTCAGAGAATCCACAGGCTTAAGAACAGCGAGAGGGTGACGGGCACTTTTCCGGCTACGACCTGCTGAACAACTAAGAAGTAGTTACAGTCAGTTACATTTTTATTGGAGCAGCTTCCCAGCTCCAACAAATTCCTCCCTAGAGTTTAAGTCTATGGATCATCTCAGTTAACCAGTTTCTACTACAGAACTAACAGGAAGCCACAGATACAGTTCTCCAGAATGAGGGAAGGTTATAGAGCAGTTTAAATACTCCTAGGTTGAAGATGAAGAACAGAAGAGCATTTCCTCATCATGGCCTATGAGTAATTAAATAAAAAGTACCAATATAAACAAAACAAAACACAACACTCACCCCCACACATCCCTGCAAGAAACAGTTATTTCAGCTGCCACAGCAAGGGCTTTGGTGCTTCCGTTTTCCTTCCCTCTGAAATCATCTAGGCCTTGAATAATTCTACCTTATGTTCTGATTTGTCAAAGTAGACGATTCATCAAATATAGAGAAAAATGGAGCAGCAGCTGGTGGGGGAAGCAGACCTACATCTGTAAAGAAAAACCAAGAGGTTCTATCAAATCCACGGTTCTTCCAAAATAGCATATACAACATTACTTAAAATAGTTAATACCCAGTCTTAAAAGCACTGTTTCTAGCAGGTGGCCATTAAGCCAGGAGAAAATGGATTCCAAGATAAAAGTACTTTTTTCTTTTTTTTCTAAGATTTCAACTACATCATCTAAACCTACATTACAAGACTCTGTCTAAATTGCTCAGAACTAACTTAGCCTGGTTTTCAGTTCTACCCACACCTTCCCTCTCCCTGCTCTGCAAAGCTGCAGCCTTTGGCAAGTAACAAGTCTTCATCCAAGACATACCAAGAGATTTACCAGTGTGGCATCAGTGATTTTCAGGAGAAAGAAACAATCTTACAGTTTAAACAGGAATGCAGTTTGTACACATTCACCAACTAAACAATGGCACAGCCAAGGTCAGAGCCATTCTGCAGCCCAAGTGCAATCCGTGCTGCTCACCACCCCTCAGCATTCCTTGATTCCATGCAATTCAACCTGTGGGAACTGTCTGCAATTCCAAACAGCCTCTTCCACTCCTCTCTCACAAGGAGCCTGTCTATTCCCTGGCCATCTTTAGCCACAGAAAGGCAGAGCAACCTTGCAAAAAAATGTGTTTTCCTCTGCTCTAACTAAACCACCCCATCTCCTGGGATTTATCAGCATTTCAGGGAGCACTGTACAAGCAGCACACTCACTCCTCCATGACCTAAGCAACACTGTTGGCATGGCAACTCTGATAGCTTATTTCAGAATAAAACTCCAGATATGCTGAGCACAGAGTTCCCAAGACAGAAAAAATCAGCCACAAGTCTGCCTCAATTTGGAGCTGCTTCACAGCAAACAGCACCCTAAGACAGGTAGCTTGTGGTTTTGTGTAAACACACTGAGTTAAGCCATTAAACTCATTAGCATATATAAATATGATATAGGCTTCCACATCATGAGCAGCATTGAACACTTCCCATGTCCTTATGCAACCTCTGCTGAAGCCTCTGTCATCAAGCTGCAGCACTAATTGCTTCCAGGCTGACAGATTTTTAAATTCTTCTAGCTTAGGAGAGGCTTAAGTACTTGGCAAAATAAGTCCCAATTTTAGGAAGCAGCTTGGAGAATTCCAAATGCAATCTCCCGTCTCAGACTCAAGACTCACATTATTTGTGGCTGAGCTGACTCGTCCACATAGGGGGTGAAACTGGGTAGGGGGTGGGCCACTTCCAAGCCAGAGCTCACAGTGCTGCGAGGACGCTGCGGAAAGAAAGGCAACATTAACAACTTCAGGATTCATTTCAGTCCCCACACCCCTCTGCACTCCGCATCTCCCTTTTCCTCATCTTCTGCTCACTTGGAGGTTTTCTTCTACAGAAAATTAAACTTGATGGAGACTTTGCCAGGATGAATTCCCTTCTGACACAGGCACAGCCCAGCACCTGAACACTGGCACCCAAAAGGCAAGGAACACTCCTCCTCCTGCGTGTCCTCACCAGCCCCGGTTCCTGTTATCCTGAGGCAATGTTTTATACATATTGAGGGATATATATGTGTATATATATATATATACACTGCAGGGAATACCCTGCTCAGGCTGGGTATTCCAGCTGCTTCTTATTTTCCACAGATGCCACAGTTCTCATTTGACAGCCAAGGTAGTCCTAATTCCATGATAATATTCATTCTCCTGTCCACCAACCACCACCAGACCTAGAGTTTGTTTTTTTTCAATTTTCCCATCAGAAGCCACCTCAGCACCATGCAAATCCCTTAACAGCTTGTGAGGTCTGATGGCAATTGAGAGACAGGACTCTGTATGGTCCAAGCAAGAAGCAAATTTATAGTTTCTACAGCTCAGTTTATATACTCTTACAACTTTGGGTAAAATTTTCCACTGCCAAAGTGATAACCACAATATTTATGTTTCTTAGCAACACTGGTTAACCACAGTCTTGTGTGATTCCCTTTAGACAAAGCATAACATTCTTTCTGCTTGCTCCTTTACATTTCTGTTTGCTGTTCAAAGGGCTTCTGGACCACCAGGTGCAAGATGTCCATATCATCCATCAACTGTACACTCATTTCTGTTCTACTGTTCAGCTGTCCCTCCACGGAGGTCCATAAGTGAAGAGGTGGAATTCAGTCGGACAACACGCTACTCACATCTCACTATTTCAATTCCCTGAGACGGTTGGGCACAAAAAAGTTACATGGTGGGAACTGGCAGCGATTGAATTGATTCACTTGTTTCCGTTCAAGAAGTTGATTTATTGATTGACTGTAGAGCTTAACATTCATACTTTTCAGCTGTAGCTAAAAATAGCTCACAGGCTGAAGAAATATTCATTGTAACAACCACATCAATGTTTCTTAACAATATTGCTTCACTATAAGCCATCAAGCCTGTACAGATATGTACGGGTCTTACATGAACAAAGCCAACCAAGAAATGCAGCCCAAACACACACATTTACACACTACTAACGGGGGCTTCCCTCTTCAGGGTACCACTGGCATGGGCTTTGCTGCCTGCCAAGGCCTGCAGCCCAGCAGAGTTACAGCATCCACTCCTGACATGAGTTTAGCAGTGCTCTCACTTCTGCTCTCCAGCGGGGAGATTCCCACAGGGAATACCTCACAAACTCACTCCTCTTGTCCATCATTTCCCAAACTGCTTCCTGAGTCACCTTGAAACCAATAAGAGAAACCCCTTCTTCCCTGTACAGGTTTTAGTAGCTCAGAGCATTCACCAAAGGTTAGTCTTGCACTGCCCTTCAGTGGAATGGAATTAAACATCCTCAAATCTTCTGCCAGAAACAGGATATTTCATTCAATCTAAGAAATTTCATTAAGAGGAGAGCAGAGACTACTCTAAGGGCAGACATGAAAAGAAATATGGAAGCATTTGAGGACGAGAATTAATGTTTTAAGCAGCACAAAGAGACCGGTAAAAGAAATTTTATACTAATAATTCCTCATCACTCTTCTCAGCTATATTAAACCTGTGCTTTACTGAACTTGTCCATTCATTTCACCAAACTGCTTTTTACCTGAAAAGAACGTTCCTGGAGTTTCCATAAATTTTAGCCTGGCTGCATCCATCCCTCATTCCAGATTTTGTTACCAAGCTTCACTTAAAACAACATCCATACTGAGAAGATGAATTTTCATCATCTTGATACCTAAGGTTTTCAGCTTTTATGTATTCTTCATGTTATTTGTAGATCTGTAGACTGTTAAAAGCCTCAGTGTAACTCCCAGTACTTTCTCACCTTTCTTTCCCACAGTGAACAGGCACTTATTGACACATTCCTCAAGTTTTGTTATGTCTTGCCTGTTACTTCTCCAAGGACATTTTATTCTGCACCATGTAATCACTGGCACAAAAAAGGTAGGGGAGGAGGGCAGAAGCCAGGCAGGAGATTACCTAACCCTAACCAACTGCAGCTCTCATTGGACAATATTGGCCAGATACTCAAACTGCCCAATCCTATCAATTCTAAACATTGATTTCTGAGAGCTCTTTTTTCCCATTTTGGGTACCTCAAGGCTTTCAAGACTTTGCTTTTACATTATCATTCTAACATGATCTGGAACAGTTGGTGTTCTGTTTCCAGGCATCAATCTCGTGACTTTCTATTCTTCTTTTCTCAGCTACAAGGAACATGGTAACACTGGGGGGTTATCTGAGCACCTATGAAACAAATCTGATCTCACAGGATTGATTCCCTTCAGACAATGTCTTGCATCACTTCTCTAGAACAGCCCTAAACACCTGTAGCATAGCTGCTGCTTTTGATGCTTAGTTTAAGCCATTGGAAGCTACTTTCTGTCATCCTGTTGCCAGGATAAATATTCCATTGATACGGCACTTGAATTCTTTTGATCTGCACTCTTCTGTTTTCCTCGCAAGCACTTCAAAACAAGTCTTGCAGAACACTGTACATGCCTTCTTTGCACAAAACAGACAACAAGGTCTTCCTTCAGGTTGTATTTTCCAATATAATTCAACTCTTACGCTTCTTTCTTACAGATTTAACTAAGGCCTGGCTTCTCTCCCCTTCCCTGGCTAACATTTTCCCTCTCACATTCCTCTTCTGCCCTCCAAACACTTCAGCGGGCCACCTCTGCCAATTCCTCTGCTTAGCAAGAACTTTCATTTCTTGATTTTAAAACTCCACAGAGATTTTAAACCTTATTCTAGCAATATCAGCTTGCTGAACTTGAACAGAGTACACATGGCCAGGGACTCATTAGAAGGAGAGTGATCGTTCACAAGGGCATGCAGTGACAGGACAAGGGGGAATGGCCTTAAGCCGAAGCCGGGTGGCTTTGGACGAGATACTGGGAAGAAATTCTTCCCTGGAAGGGTGATGAGGCCCTGGCACAGGTTGCTCACAGAAGCTGTGGCTGCTCCAGCCCTGCAAGTGTCCAAGGCCAGGTTGGATGGGGCTTGGAGCAACCTGGGCTAGTGGAAGGTGAAACTGGATCATCTGTAAGGTTCCTCCCAACCCAAACAATGTCACAATTCTATCATTAAATCTGTATTTGCAATAGACACAAACCACCAGCTTACACACAACTTCCTCTCTTTTCCCCGTCCATTATGAGCATCCTTACCCTGCCAAATATCTAAGGTCTTGCACTGAGTTCGTTCTTGCAGGCTGGACATCACCCGCCCCTGCCTGAGGGGCTGCACATTCTCCTTGCTCAGCTCCCACTCGTGGCTGTCCTCCTGGGACATGACCACCTCTCCTTTAATCCTGCATTCACAAGAAACCGACACCTGTAAGGCTGGGTACTGACCTAAAACCTGACAGAGACGGCTTTCCTCATCCCCTTCACCCCGAATTTTCTTTGCAGCCAAAACACACCGCTTAGATACACAACTTTTAGAGGGACTTCAGCGTTTAATTCCCCACTAGGGGAAATACATTAAAAAAGAGCCAATCTTGACAAGGAAGAAACGCACGCAAGGCAATCTTGGCAGCAAAAGCCACTAAGATTAACCCAGTTCCCTCCCCAGTGATTGCTCCTTTCGCTGCCCCGAGACCCCCCACCCTCCTCACGGGGGCTGCCGATGGCTGCGCTCCGGCCACGGGGAGTCTCAGCCAGCCTTAGTCGGGACCCTCTGATCCTTCACCAGTCACGCGAGGGGTTGCAGCAGAAGGGGGACACAGCCGAGCCTCAACCCCTGCCCGGCGGGGACCCCCGCTGGCACCGAGGGGAGGCGAGGCTGCTGCTTCCCCGGGACGCACCGCCCCACGCCGGGTCCGGGCACCCCGCGCTGTCCGGGCAGCCCCAGCGCCGTGCCGGGCGGAAAAATACGGCTCCGAGCGCCACAGCCACCCGCGCTATGTACCTCATCCCCTAAAGCCCCTCAAGGATGCCACACAGCCACAGCTCCTCCGCCCTACAAGGCTCACCTCCCTTTCGCGGACCGATCCCCCCACAGCCCCTCAGCCGCACGTACCTCACACCTTACAGCCCCTCAGGCCGCCTCTATTCTCAGCCTCTCCCAGACCCCAGACACCTCACAGACTACAGCCCATCACGGATCTCCGAGCGCCCCTCAGCCCCGCGCACCCCACAGCCTCAGCCACCCGCCCCTTACGAGTCTTCAGAGGCCCGCGCACCTCACAACTTAGAGCCCCTCCGCCCCACAGGAATGTCACAGACCCCCACACCTCACGGCTCCCCAAGCGCTCCTCACGTGTACCGCCGCCATCTGTTCCGAGTACCTCGAAGCCTCCCAAGGACTCCCCTGATCCACGAGGACCCTTCATGGCCCACAGCCCTTCAAGCCCCCACCCCGGACCCCGCAGGCGCGCACCCCTCACGGGCCCCACAAACCTCAGCCCCGCGCACCTCACAGCCCCTGAGACCACAGTCCTCCACGGACCCCACAGCTCCTCAGGCCGCCTTAGCTCAGAGCCTCGCAAGCTCCGCGAACTCTTCACGGACTCGCCCCCCACCCAACCAGACGTACTGCACACAATTCCCGGTCGTGGGAGTCACTCCCACCAACACACCAACTGCTCGCCAGCAGAATGACTGGGAATTGCCGCCGCCTTAATATTCAAGCAGCTCCCGCCTCCCCATTGGCCACGCCCCGAGCTCCGCCCCACCCCGCCTGATTGGCGCCGTCCTGCGTCGCCCCGGGGCATCACGGGAAATGTAGTTTTCACTTCACCAACGGCAAACCAAACGGCGGGGCAAAATAAGTAATTTCATAAACAATGCGTTCGCAGTTAATCTCATCTGAAAGGCATGCTCCTAGTCCTGCTTGCGTGTGTTCCTGCCCTTTCCCTCTGCTAACCGCTGTCACTCGCTGATTCTCTACGTTATTTTTCTGTCCTAAATTCATCCTCTTTTTTTTCCTGAGGCGCTCACTTCATGCAACTGGCGATGAGTTCTGCTTTGGTGTCACTAAAAAACTCACTTTTTGGGTGTCCCTGAAAAATGCATAGTTTGCCACTCCCAAAAGTAGCTCCCAGAAGCGTATGGCTGTGTTAATATGATGCTCAGTCCCGTTAATCAGCTTCTCTCCCACAGGATTCAAAGAAAAAACTAATTAGTCTGACAGGCTGCAGTAATTCACAGGACCCTGGAGTGACTCGAAGCGTCCAAGACCAGGTTGGACTTGGGGTCTTGGAGCAACCTGGGATAGAGGAAGCTGTGGTTGTTCATGGTAGGGGCTGGAATGGGATGGACTTTAAGGTCCCTTCCCGCCCAGAAAATTCCAGGATTTTATGAATATCTCATCACTGCTTCAACACTGCCGGAGCACGATCGTGCAGTGAATCCAGTTTTTTCCTGCTCTTATTGACAGGGCAGAGGGAAGAGCTCAGCAATGACAGCCTGGGCAGAGGGTGAAGCCCTGAACAGCGCCACACGCTTACAGCCTGTCCTGCAGCACTCCCTCGTGCGCCTGTGGGGAACTGCAATGAGCTGGGACTGGCGGTTCGCCTCTCTCAAAGTTGAGATCTTCATAAAATCCAGCATCTACAGGAGAACAGGAGTACAGATGTCTTGCTCCCCTCTGCACTCAGGATCTGCAAACACTGACGTATGAGGCAGCTGCAAATCAAAAATTACCATAGACTTGGACAGGAATATCCTGTCAGGAACATAGATCAGCTGCCTTCTGTTATTGGAAATGTGATGAATAACAGAAATATTTGTCATAAAGAAAACTGAATGAGGAAAAAGCATTTTTTTTTTCCACAACTACCCTTAACTCACAGACTCTGAAGGCTTTTCTGGTGGCTGTGACTAATGAAGCTTTTGTATGCGCAGAAGAGACGAACGGTGACCATGGTGTTGATGGGTGGTTCTTTCCGTGTTACGTGGGCAAGAAACTCTTGACACACCGGATCGGGGACAGCGAGCGGGGCGGTGCCGGATGGGGCTCGGTCGAGCTGTGCGGGCTTGTGTGTGCGTGTCTCTGTCTGTGCCATGGACAGTGACAAACACCGGTGCCAAGGGATCGGAGGTGGCCGCAAATGAAAGTCGGCAACGCCCAGGAGGGCGGCCCGGGCCGGCGGTGGCCCGGACCCGGCTGCTGCCAGCATACAAGATGGCGGGTTTGGGCAGAACTCACGTGATACCACACATAAGATGGCGGCTCTCACCGGAAGTGATTCCTGCCAGAACACAAGCGAGCGGCCTTGGGTTGAAGTCACGTGATACCACATCAAATATGGCGGGCTAACCGAAAATTACTTCTTCCGAAACGCAAGATGGCGGAGTTTGGGCGGAACTCACCATCGCCACACCTAAAATGGCGGCTTATACTTACCGTGCCCTTTCCAATATGGCGACACTTCGCGCATGCGCTTTCGGTAGAGAAAAAGTGGCGCCGGGAAAGGAGCCTACCCCGAGAAACGCGTCTCTGGAACTCTGAGTTAATGTTAAGTAAGTCTTGCCAAATGATTTTTATGAGGTTAAATTTAGTGAATCTGTACCAATAAACAGAAGCCCTGAAGCACAAGAAGCTGTGCTGCAGAACACATGCTGTGGCCATGCTGTGCCCCTGCCAGGACCTCTTCAGGTGTTCCTGTGGACCATCGGGTCCAACTGCTGCCCCAGCACTGCCAGGGCCACCCCTGTCCCTCATCCCCAAGTGCAACATCAGGAGCCACCCATCAAGTGACAAGAATTGGGGCTGGGGGTTCCCAGAGGGGCCCCAGTGCCCCTTCCCCTCTCCCTGGCCTTCCCAGGGAGGATGGCTGCTCTGGAAAGTGCAGTGTGCAGCGGGAGCAGCCCAAAGCCAGCCATTTCCCAGCAGTTCAGGGAATTTGTGCCCAGAGCACCTTGAACTCCTGTGTGCTCAGCACCTTTTCGTTGGATTTTTATGCACTTGGAAATGGATTTCAGGATCTACCTGTGAATTCAGTGAATTGCCCTGGCCAGAGACCTTTTGCTGACCTAAAAGTAGCTTTTAAACCTCAGACCCGCAGGCTTGCAGTGTTTTCCAGTGGCAGTGGGAAACACAATGGAAAGATCCTGTTCAGTGATGCAGCTGCCCACAAGGGCCGGGTCAGCTGGGACAGCCCTTGCTGTCATGTGTTCTCCTCTCTCTTGGCTTTCCCATGTGGGATTGACTGAGGCTGCAAAGTGCAATCCAGAGCATCTCCAGGCTGCTGGTGCTTGGGGCTGTGGTGCTTGGTGCGCAGACAACATTCCAGCCCATCTGCTCTGGGGTTGGATGTACATTTCCACAGGCACTCAGACTGGGAAAAGGTCAAGAGTGTGGTGGGAAGGGCTTTCTCCCAAGCATGGACACGCTCAAGGCAGGGATGATTTTTAAATATTTATTGTCTTTTGCTTCCCAGCCCAGGGCTAAGTTGGTGTTCCCTGAACTGGATGTGGAGTGAGGAAGTTACTGTTGGGAGAGTGGGAGAAAGGAACACACTTGGCTGGTGTACCCCGGCTGGGCAGAGAAATCTGACAGTGCCAATAAGGGTTTGTAGGTATTTAACGAGTCCAGTGGTGCCAGTGGTTCAGGGCAGAGGGGAGCAGGGGCTGATGGACACTGGCACTGGATGTTCAGTCATGGCTGGGAAGGAACAGCTGGACCTCTCCCAAGGCAGTGCTGGCTGTGGATTTGGGTCCTGTCTGGCCACAGAAAGGTGTGGCAGCTGGAGACAGGGCAGGTTTAGGGGCTGTGCTGTCATAGCCTCTTTAGTTCTTGTCCCTGTTTGTTCCTTCCTTGGAAAAGCATCCCTTCCTGGCTGGTCATTTCCTGAAAATGGCAGAGCCTGGCCCTGAAGTTCCTCAGCATTGGTGTGACCCACTGTCCTTGTCACCTGCCCTTGGCACAGTCACTGCCTTTGCCATTCCCGGTGGAAGGTAGGATCTGCCCAGAGTCAGGAGCACCCAGCAGGATATAGCCCCTCTTTTCCAGGAGGTGAGAGGTGGGGGGTGGGGGGCAGGAGATGGAAGGGATGTTTTCCAGGCAGAGACACTGAGGTCACTGTGAGAATTCCAGCTCCCAGCAGCTCTGCTAGTGCCAGAGAGACTCAGGGCTGAGAAGAGAACAGGGCAACACTGGGGCTGTGAACAGCTCCAGTGGACAAAGGAATGTCAAAACAATATGAAGAGTTTGAAGGAGAACAACTAACCTGAAATTTGGCTTTTGGTGTTACTGTGTGTAGTCTGTCACCTCCAGGCATGAAATTGGACTTTGAACATGTCCATGGTGAGTTGTGTGTTCTGTTCATGGGAACACTAACCAGGTAAAGTGGGATGTAAAGGCTTGTGGCAGACCAGAAGGTGCCTTGAGGATCATGGTGAGTGCTGCCCTGGAAAACTCCAAAAATAATCAAAATATGAACTCATGAAACTCGGGGTTTTAAAACTTTATTCCAGATAAAAAAAGATGGAAATGACCTTGGTAGAAAAGCACCTCTGAAGCAAAGCAGAATTAAAATACCTGTAACCAGAAAACCCAGGAGGAATGGCTGCTGGCTCCTGGAGTCCTGGTCTTTTTAGGCAGTTTTTATATTGGACTGAAAGGCAGTTTTTCCTTCTGGGACTGGACCTGCATCCCCCTGGAAGGGGAAAATGTGGGAAGAGTACAAGTGGGAAGACAGCTGTTGACATCAGCCCTTGGATTCTATTTGCTCCCAGTGGGTCTGTGCTGCATGAAGTCCAAAGGACATCAGTCCTGGAGTACCTGTGTGTTCACAGCCTGGATCTGGCCCAGTTTTCAGAGTTGCTGTGATTGAGGAACAGAAACAAGGAAAACAGGCTCTGTTTCTTTGCTCTCTCCATCTCTCTTCTCACAACTTCCCTGATGTGCTCCATGTGCAAGGGCCCTGAGCAGCATTCCTGGACAGCTGCCACCCGCTTCTTTACAAATAAAGGGCAAAGAACATCCTGGTGCAGAGGGGTCTTTAGGAAGTGCCAATCCCTGACTGTGTCTCCCTGCGCTCGCTGTAGTTCTGCCTGTTACCACCTGCACTGGAGAGACCTCCATGGCATGGGGTTATTCTAGGAAAGTGACCTTATTTAATTAGTCCAAAATTTATGTTCATAGAAGTCAAATTTCTGACAGAAAACACCATTTAAATTTTGACTTTCCCATGTTGTTTCCAGTTGCTGCCAGGAAAAAAGACCTTGTGGCAAGGGGCAGCACCTGAGCAGGTGGAGTAGCATGTGGGGTCCCAGGGGAAACATACAACTTTCCTCTTGTCAGTCCTTCCCCAGTGCCCCCAGAAAAAAGGGGGGATTATTAGGAGAAAAAGTGTTTAAACTGAGGGGAAAAACTTCCTTTTCTGTAATTGTCTGTGTTTAAATTGAGCAGGAATCCCCTGTGATTTTAAGGGTATCAACTGAAGGAAACCCTGCCTTTTCCATGCTCTTAGGGGTATCACTTGACAGGGAATCCCCATTTTCCAGTTTAAATGGAAGGGGAAAACCTTAACAACACTATGTTATGTGTGTGAATTGAAAGTAACTCACCCATTTTCATCATCCTGAGGTTTGAATTGAGGGGAAAGACATGTTGTCCCTCCTTTTTAAGGCATTTAATTGAAGGAAAAATCCCCCTTTTTCTATCATTTGAGAGACTTGAAGTAAGGAAAATCCCTCTTTTTCCAATATTTTAGGGGATTCAGAGGGGAGAGCCCACTTATTACCACGGTATTGGTTTAAGAAGAGGCAAATACACCCAGTTCCCTCATTTTAAGTTCAGTGGAAGGAAGCCTCCCTTTTTTTCAGCAGTTTAAGGGTTTAAATCTGTACTTCAGGATGCTTTTACTTGTGCCCCTGCACCAGATCTCTCACAAGGGAGTGAGCTCCCTAAGACATAACCCTAAGGCTGCCTAAGTATCCCTTTTATTTCTTATTTTTATTTATAGCACTAATTAGAGGTCCCAAGGGGCATTACACCATTTATACTGTTAATATTCCTCTCTACGATACTTAGTCACTGCTACTTAGTAATTACTAATAAATAGGAATTCAAGTTAACAAATTACCCAACTTACCTATCTACGCTGCCAAAACAAGCTTTTTTTAACCTACTGCCTGCTCTTACTGTCAATGCAGTTGTAGTAAAAAAATAAAAATAAAAATAAAAAGAGGCATCTATAAAGCCCTTTACTCACCTTGAAGTGAGAGGAACCAAACAGCTACAGCTCTTCTCCGAGCTTTTATCCCTTGTGGTAATTATCTCCTCCCTTTCCGTGAGAATCATGCGAACAAGAGGCGGGTCCTGTCAGGGGTATATTAACCCCAGCCCTTGGAAAAGGGGCTTATTACATCTCTGGGACTGACTGGTGAAAGGGCTCTTATTTTAATGAAGAGCCTCTTTCAGGTTATCTCAGCGTTTTCTCAGGGAGCATTTAAGTTCACAATTTTGTGTTGAGTGTTCAGGGGTGGTAAAGTGTTTTTGTAATTTCCTCCTCGGCCGGGCGCGCCCACTCTCCGTGAAGGGAGACGGGAGAGGGGGCTAAGGAGAAGGTGCGATGACAGGATCCCCTCGCGCCGCCTCTCACCGTTGAAGTCCCCGGTGTCGGCCACCACCGTGGTGTGGTGCTTGAGCTGGTCCAGCGCCGACTCCATCTTCTGCCGCTTCACGGGGGACACCGACATGTCCGCGGCTGTGGGGGCTCGCGCGCCTATAAGGGACAGTGCGTGCCCGGAGGGGACCGACCTGCGCGCGCACCCGCGGTCCGCGCGCTCCCGCCGCCAATCCCAGCCCGGCTGGGAGGCAGCGGCCAATCAGCAGCGCGGACACAAGACGGACGCGGCCGGGAGGAGCAGAGGCGGGGCAGCGGGAGAGAGAAAGATTCTGATTGGCTGGTTCGTGGGCCTGGCGGTCAGGGCGGGTGGTCGCCTTGGCAATCCTGGCGCTGCCGCTGTCACCAGCGGAGCGTGTCCGGGGGTCTCTGCATCCCCCGGCCCCGGCATCTCCGGTCCCCAGGACCCCCCGGGGGTCTTCCCCACGGCCGGCACGGCGCCCGACCCACCCCCAAGCCACCCGTCCCTCATGGCCGCGCGGGGCCCGGGCGCCGCCGGTGCCGCAAGATGGCGGCGGGCCGGCCCTGAGCGGGGCGGCCGTGAGGGAAGGCTCGGAGCCGCGCCGGTGCTGCCCCGCTGCAGAGCTCAGCGCTCTGGGCTCACAAGTTTCGAAACTGCGTGTCGGCCACAGCTCCAGCCTCTGAGAGAGCCCCCGACCCAGCACGGCAGGTGTTTTGGGCTCTTGGTTTGCCTAAACTTCATTTAGGCTATAGAGGAGGTGGTCTTGTTAGTGTGGTGCCACTTGGAAATTGAACTCCCCTAAACATCTACAAAAGGCATTACCAATTATTTCAACTAAGTAACTTAATTACTGAAGGAAAAAAGAAAACAAACGTTTGCCTCCTGAAACTGAGGATGGCTCTTAGCTGGAATTGTTGGAGAATCCATGTAACAGGCCCTGAGTCAGGGGTTTATGCTGTTCCCTCTTTCTGTATTGTTCCACTTAGGACGGCTGCCACAGTAGTTTCCCTTCCAGATGGGCACAAATGTGCTTTTGTACAGCCTTTTCATGCTTTCTCCGTTCTTAAAACACAGCTATCCAGGCTATAACATCCTTCCTGTTGAATGTCAGTCCCCAGACCCAAAAGGAAACATGTGGTTTCAGACATTTTGCTGAGTTTCTGAGACTCTCAGTGGCAAACCATTATGAAAACCCAGTGAAAGAGACGGAGATGGATTTATAAGTATAACTTAACTATTTTAATAACTCTTGTACAGTGCATGGTTATATCATTGTCTCCTTCGCTCAGTTACATCAATGTACAGTACTTTATAGCAGTGTCTGCAGGCAGTATAAACAGAACAGATGCACAGCTCAGTCACATGGAAATTTGTAAAAGTGACCTCTGCAATAAGGTCTGCTGAGATATCTGTTTTAGGAAATGCTCCTGTGGCTCCCAGCTTTACAGAACCGTTGTGTACACTCCTGTTGAAATCCCAGATAAATGTAATTCCCTGTGATTTTCTTTCCTCTATGCCCCAGGACTAGAAGGTGGTGTGTTTCCTAGCTCAACATTTCTTTTTTATTTTCATTTTAGAAACTTTCTTGCCTCCTGTGCTTGCCATCCTGCTTCCTTTCTCCACCCTAATCCAGAGCCAGGGCTTCTCAAGAGGATTGTCCTCTTCATCCCTCCCTGACAAGGTGAGTGCCAGTCTCAGATCCCAGCAGGGCTGTGACTAAACCCAGGATCCTCCTCCCCTGCCTGCACCCTAATTCTGCTGGTGCCAGCAGTGCCCTCTTTCAAATGAAGAAAGCAGATTATCCATTGGAGACACTTAAGAATAAAGCCAGAACTGAGGTGCACTGGTGTTCTCAGATTTAGACACAAGTTCCCCAGGTGCTGTGCTGTTTAAAAGCTTTTTCCATTAAATGTGCAAGGACAGACACAAATTTGGGCAAAGACTCAGCTCATGCTGAGGGAGAAAACCCAACTGTCACTGGGCTGTGGGCAGCTCTGGAGCTGTGTTTGCTCACTGCTTTGCAATCAGGTTGTCTGTCAGTTAAATAGAGATAGAAATGCAATGTGCCAGACTTGCTGTGGACAGGAACTACGCTGCTTGCTTGAGTTTTGAGACTGTGAGTAAATTTTGGAAGCGTAATCACTAATTCTGCCTCTAGGGAGAGAGATTTTCCTCACCCCTATTTACAGATTGTTATATACAAATGCACATAACTTTATGAAGGAAAACAGGAAGTCAAGAGCAACATCCTGTGCTAAGTTAGATTATTTTTTTTTCTTGTGCCCATTTATTTGGAGTTAAAGGTGCCTTTCCCAGTATGCTTTGGGATTTCAGCTATTTGGGAATCATTTCAGCTGACTTTTTGCAGTGAAAACGTGAAGGTGGGGGATGAGTGACCCCCAGGAAGGGCTGTGGTGTGCCTGGGTTGGGAGCAAATGGTCAGGGCTTATCGTGTCCTGGTTTGAGGCCGGGTTTGGCAACACCACAACATTCCAGTGCAGGATCAGTGCCCCAGGGAAGGGCTGCACAGCTGCCCTGAGCCCCTGCCTCTGCATCAGCAGCGGTGGGCAGGTGGAACTCACCTATTTCCACATTCAGATCCCTTTGTCTGTCACTCCTGCTCGTTTCTAGGCACTGAGAGCTCATTTCAGCTGTTCAGAGGCGGCACTAATTGGTCCAGGGATTTAAGGAAGCAGCCAGACTTTGGGAATGTGTGTTGCCATTCTAGCCTTGTCCAATGAGGGGGCACAGGAGGTCAGGAGGAGGACAGGGAGTTGTCACCAGGCCTGGGCTCGTGGGCAGCAGGGGACACCTGCACTGAGGAGGAAATGGAAATGGGGCTGCCTTAGGTTGCCCAGGGAGGTCATGACTCCCCATCCCTGGAAGTGTCCAAGGCCAGGCTGGACAGGATTTGGAACAACCTGGGCTTGTGGAAGGCATCCCTGCCCACAGCAGGGGGGTGGAACAGGATGAGCTTTAATGTCCTTTCCTTAAACCCAAACCACTGCAGGGTTCCAAAGCCTCATTCCCGTGGGGCAGGCTCCAGGCCTTGAGGCTGGCCTCTCCTGTGCTGCATGCCACACCTGCTCTGCCAGCGAGGGGGTTGGAGCAGGGACAGCCCTCGGAGAAAAGCTCTGGGGGTCTTTGTTTGAATCCAGCCCTTGTCTACATCCAGCCCCGTGTGAATCCTGCTCTGATTGCATGCACGGAAAATTTCAGTATAAAATATATAGTTATAAAAAAAATACTTCATGCAAAATTAAAACACCTTTCCCAGTGGGACATGGTCTTATTGTCAACCCTTCCCAACAGTGTTCAAGGAATTGTCACTCTGATGGCAGCTGGACCCCAAGGGGAGCTCTGCTGCCTCCGGCCTGGGCCGGGAATCATTGCTTTCATTCCCTTTTTTTCTGCACTACTTAGGGCTAAGAGCTGAAATAAAGCAGAGAGACTTTAATTAGCAGAATCAATCCTTTCCTGGCGGCGCTTCATGATTTCTTGGAGCTCTGACTCTCCTCTGCTTTTCTGGAATGGAAACAAAACAGGAAGTTTGGATTTGAACTTCAAGCTGTAGTTAAATTACAGTATTTAATGAATGCTGCAGGAGTAGAGCTAGTTGCAGAGGGATAGCTGGTATCAGTAAAAGGCAGATGAATTAGTGGACACAGGGGATCTTATGGATTTGGGGCCATTTTGCTTAAAAGACACTTCAGAATTTTTAGGTGTGTTTTATTGCTGGTGTGGGTTTTGGTTGTGTTGGGTTTTGTTCATTTTTTTCCAGCTGTATTTCTTAAAATGGCTGTTTCATGAACTGTCTGACACTGCTGGTGTCCATTCACCCCCACAGCCCCCACAGCCCCCCATTCCAGCAGGAGTTATCCAAAAGAGCACTTACCTCCAGCTGGTTTTTCTCCACCGTGATCTTGCTGTACACTCTGTTTCCCTCATCACCACACACCTTCTTCAGCTCCTCTCTGTTGAGGGAGAAGAGCTGAGCTCCGGTGAGGATGCCCAGGTGTTCCACGGTCCTGGGGAGACACAAAGTGGGGAGATGATGGTTGTGCTGCACGTGGCCTTGTGCCAGAGGTGAGGAATGGAGGGAGGAGGGAGATGGGAGGCTGGGAGCTGCACTGGGACCGTATCACAGGGCCTGGGGCTGTGCCAGGGTGCCAGCTGTGATTCCAGTGGCATGTCAGGCTGTGGGTTTAGTTCCTTAATTATTTTTCTCCAAGAAAATGTTTATAAAAGAGAAAGGGAGTGAGTTTGGGGTCTGAACATCCTGGTTATAAAGCCTGGGTTGAATAGGGTTGAAAACTAATTTGCAACACAGGCTCTGTGTAAATCCAAGTGACTTGTCCCAGGTGAGATGGTGCCAGCGGCCTCCCCTGCTCTTCTCCAGGGAAGGACGAGCATTTCTCGAGGCAATAGGGCAAATCTTACTCTTTGCTGAACGACTTGGCCTCCAGCCAGGCTTTGACTTCTTCAGTGCTGGATTCAAAGGTGAGGGGTACAAAAACTTGCTGAGGCTTTTCCACTTTGAAATTCCTGTGGGGAGGCTGAATTTTATTGTTTGTGATCTTCTTTAGCAGCTCGTCATTCAGCTCATCCATTTGGTGAATAAGTTCTGTAGAAACAAATAGGGAATGAAATCAAGTCTTCAGTCACAAATCCCATGAAATGTGTTTGTAGGGAAACTGTAAAGAAAATGGGGGTGTGGCTCAGCATTTGTATTTAAATTCAGCCCAGAAAAGTGGTTCCCATTTTCCTGTACCCCTGTGCTGCCATTTATTTTCCTTCCATCACCCCTTGGCTGTTTCCTGATATGGAAGGACAGATCTGTGAGAATCTACAATTGAGAGCTGGGATTGAGACCTTTTCAGTCCTCTCAGCTACTTCTAGTCAGTAATTTGCTGGTCCCAGAGCTCCAGGCTTTGCTCTACAGCAGAACAGAAGTGTCAGGAAGCACAAACTGGGAGTGAGAAACACACTCATGATGAGATGAGCTTGAAGGTCCCTTCCAGCCCAGGCCATCCTGTGATTCTATGAAAACTCCAGTGACACTTCATCACTTTCCCCATGAAACTCCTGAGGACTGTGGAGAATAACTCAGTGTTATGAACAGAGTCATGTTCTTTTATTGTGGTGCTTTCCATTGTCCCAAAAGGGCTCCTGCTTCTGGGAGTGGACAGAGTGGGATAAGGGGTGAGGTGAGAAGGGCCCCTGGTCTCTCTCCTGCTCTGTGAGCCCCACAACATGTGCAGGGTGAAGGAGGGATGTGGATCTCCTGTTCGGCTGGGAATTCTGTGGGACCACATGAAGGAACTGGCCAGGCAGGTGCTATGTGTGTGGCAGGGTATGAGCAAAAGGAAGGGGAGAGAAAGGGATTGACCTGAGCTTAGACACACTTAAATGTCTTGGAAGAGAAAGGAATCTCTCTCTGGGAGGAGGAGGAGGAAGGTCAAGCTGGAGGAAGGAGGAATGAGATGATCACTCATTGCCCTGCCCATCCTGGGCTGCCTGAGAGCCTGGGAGGTGTCACAAGCTCCAGGGCTGCTCTCTTGGCTCTTGTCCTACCTGGAATGGCCTCCAGACTCGGTGCTGCTCTATTTCTGATCACTGAAAGGTGCAGAGGAGCCCCTTGGGTAGGTCTGGACCGCAGAGCACCCAAAGCCAGGGGACCCCAGCATGGGACACAGGGTGGGACACACACGTACGTTCTTTGGCGTCCTGTGGAGAGTTGCGTGATAACATCTCACTGCCCCACTTATCCCCAGCGTAGCTGGCAGGCAGCTTATGAGTTGGACTGGATGGGCCATAGCCCCTGGGGCTCAGGTCTCCTTTGTACCTCTGGTTAGACTGGTTAGAAAGGAAAAAAAAGAAGTAAGATTTTTTTCTGCTGTTTTTAATTTTCTTAAACTTTCTGCCTTGCACCCACAGAGGGACAAACTGCCATGTTGTCCTTGTGCTGATGTGGGGCTGCTGAGACCTCAGGTGGAGCTGCATGGAAGAAATTAACTTTGGGTTCTTCATTCCCAGAAATGAAGTCTGAAATTTGCACAAAGGAATTCCTAGACATGCCAAAACATGTTCAATCCCATTAGAAGGCAAAGCCTCACTGCTCTGTAGCTGGTATGTAAAGTGTGACCACTGCCAAGGGCCTGGAGCAGACTGGGAAGTTTTTTGACATTTTGATTAAACTAGCAAGGATTTATCTAGAAGCCTGCTGCACCACCTTAGGCTTTGTCCAAACTCTGCAATACCAAAACAGGGAAGCGATTCCATGCTTCCCTAGGATGTTTAGAAAACTCCAGCTCCACATTTCTGTAGTGCAAGTTGCAGTATTCACTTAGTTCTTACTTTGATGGCATTTCCATCTGCCACCATCCAGTGATGTGTTCCTGCTGCTGAACTGAACTGGGTGAGGGAAGTGTCTGTTTTTAATTTAACCCCCAACAAAAATGTTGAGAGGAAAAAATATGGAAAACGGGAAGCTGCTGCACAAATTGGAAAGATAGATTGGGAAGACGATTGTGGCAAAATGAGAGTTTTATCACAGGAGACTCAGGAATCTCCTGACTTTGTCTACTTCTGAGGGTTCATCCTGGCTTGTGCATAGTATCCTAAGAAATGCAGGGAGGTCTAATGACAAGATTATTCCCAGAGGCAGATTGTGCCCTGCAGCTGGTACCAGTCAGGTACCACCTGACTACAGACCTGTTCGAGCTCTTCCAGTTTCACCACATCCAGGATATTGTATGGAACGTAACCAGCCTGGCCACTCCGGTTGAGCAACTTCCACCATTGCTTATTATCTTCCAACACCTGAGAGAGGGACAAAAATAAATCTGCTACTGGGAACATGGGATTTCAGGCATACTCAACCAGTGTATGTCGCTTCTTCACCCAGAAGGTGAAGTTGCCAGAAGGACATTGCTGAGGCCAGGAGCTTTGATTAGATCTGCTGCTCTCAGATGTAATCCAGGATTGAAACTTCTCCTGGAAGGCATCAGAATTTATCATAAAGATGAATAGAAGAGCACCTCTGGGTGCTGAAGAACTCATAGTTGCTATGTAATGTCCCTGTTTCTTCAGGTATTTTTTTTTCCCAATGACTGAGTTTCTGTTGTCTTTTTGTGTTAAAATAAATAAATAAATAGCTATATTTTGCACAGAAACTTTTCCCCAGGTCACAGATCAGTGTTAGCCTGAGTCGTGTCCCACATTCTCCAGCTGCAGGAAGAGGAAGGTTATGAAAAAGGTGTTTTTCAGAGAAAACAATTCCTTGTGGAGGCAGAAGTGGTAATAAGGAACACAGACTCAGCAGGGGATGAGCAGGGCACAACAGGGAGTTGTTGTCCTCCCTCCTCACTGTGGTTAAGATGGGACCGATGTGTTTGAGCTGAGGAAGTGACACAGCACAGCACAGGCAGCCTGTTCCAGCTTTGGATTGGAGCAAAGCTCCGTGTCACTGCTCAGACACCAGCAGGGAAAATGGAGCTGGTGCTTGCTGGTATCCTGAGCTCTCTCCTGCCCCTGGGAAGGGAACACACCTTTTCCCAGCAGTGGTCACGTACCTCCAGGATTTCATCCTTCAGCACCGAGAGCTCGTTGGCATTTCGCGCGGTGAAATCGTAGCGGATTTTGGCAAATGTCCTGGGCACAGCCACTCCCTGGGCCTCGAAATTCCTGCAGGAGAGAAAAACTGGAGTTTTAGAGGAGGCCTATCTGATTACAAGGCCAAGAAAACTGAGATTGGAGAAATGATCCTAATTCTTTCCTGACTGCACACTGCATCTGTACCACTTGATGTTCCTACCAGGACCAGTGATGGGGTGAATGATAAAAATAAGTTATTTTGCTGATATAATTGGATTTAAGGTATTTTGTTGTGGGTTTGAACTCTTGTAGTAAACCTTATAAATCTTTTAGATTAGAACAGAAAGCCATGGAAAAACAATCTGGCTTGAAGGTTTTTTCCTAGACTAGAGCTGGTGACAGAAAAGTGGATGGTCAGCTGAAAACTTGACTCAAATCCCTGAAAAGTGATGTGTCAAATCATGGCAGAGGGCTCATGTGGAATTCAGGAAGAGTTTGGTGGCACTTGGAGATGTGACAATTTCAAGGTGTGAGCTCATGTAAACAAGGAAGAAGATGGAGCCTCTGAACTAAAGGTACTTTGATGAAGGTTTTGTTCCATGGAGTGACTGGTGATGGAAAATGAGAGTTGGAGTTGTTAAAAGGTGAAGAGCCATCTTTCCCTTGGAAAAAAACCTGAGGCAAAGGGGTGGCCTGGTTGGTTCTGGGTTTGGAAGTGAACTTTCCAAGACTTCTGAAGAAAGGGGAGAGTTTTTCCCCATTTTCTAGAATTCTGTCTCATCAAGAAGAGTTGTCTGAACCCGGTTCCCAGTTCCCTAGGGAAGAGGTGTCCAGGACTGGAATATATTGTTTTATTCAGCCTCTCCTCAGTGGGTTTGCCTTTGGTTGTGTCTAAAGCCAAGGAGGAGCTTCTGTTTCCAGGCAAACAAAGCTCATTCCTCAGCTGAAATGTTTTCCAGCAGCACTGGGAGCTCAGGCTGCTCTTCCCTGGCCCTGTGTTTCCAACAGGGTGAGGTTTGTGTGTGCTCTTCCCTTAGGGCAGATTCCCCCTGTAGGCAGCTTCTGTCTGTGCAACCTGTGGTGGCTTTGGGATGAATGGAGAGGTCCTCAAGGGTGTCCAGAGGAGACCAGGAAGGGGCAGGAAGTGCTCCAAGGGCTGGAGCATTACACAGACAGGCTGAGAGAGCTGGGAATGTTCAACTGGGAGAAGAGAAAGCTCCAGGGAGCCCTTAGAGCCCTTTCCAGTGCCTAAAGGGGCTCCAAGAGAGCTGGAGAGGGACTTTGGGGAAGAGTCTGGAGTGACAGGACAAGGGGGAATGGCTTCCCACTGCCAAAGGGTGGGTTTAGATGGGATATTGGGAAGAAATTCTTCCCTGTGAGTGTGAGGAGGCCCTGGCACAGGTTGCCCAGAGAAGCTGTGGCTGCCCCATCCCAGGAAGTGTTCAAGGCCAGGTTGGACAGAGCCTGGAGCAACCTGGGATAGCAGAAGGTGACCCTGGCCATGGCAGGGGGTTGGAACTGGGTAATCTTTAAGGTGCCGTCCCACCCAGTCCATTCTGTAATTCCATGATTCCAACGTCTCTACACATACAGAGAGCCAAAGCGCAGTGCAGCATCTTTGGCACCTGACCCTTAAAGTCACTTTGGTGGGCTGATGTTGGGAAACAAGACCTATGGATGGACTGATGAGGTCAGTCAGTATTTTTGCCTCCAGTGGTGAAAACCACCTGAGATTCCTGTCCTTGCAGAGCTGCTGGGGGTTAAACAGCAGACGGTGCTCACGGGAATAATCCCTCGGCTGATCTTTATCTTCTCTTGGTGGTTATTAGTAGTGGCAGGGAGTTGTCTCCAGGATGTCCAAACTTCCCAGTGTCACCATACGTGTCCGTGTGTGTTCACAAGGTTCCAAGGTAGGAGCTGAAGCTCCAGGGGTGCAGATCCATTACCTATTGCCGTGTGGAGTGACATTCTGTTTGAAGGCATCCCCAGCCTGTGTCTGCTCAGCCGTCTGGCCACGCTTGAGTGAGGAGTTCCGGTAAGGATATCCATTGGCTGAGGAGAGCTGGAAAGGCAGACATGGAGTCAGTGTTACCAGGAAAGGGGAAAGCCAGTTGGAGAAAAGGAGAGGGTTAGTGGGCAGCTTTTGGTCAAGATATTCTTCAGGGAAGCCTGTGTCCCTGGAGCTCAGTGACATTGTAGGGTCCTGTTGCCTTGAATCAGGAGAGGCTGATTATTGCTGCCCTTTTCCAGCCTCATTTGCTTTCTGTATTTAACTGGAGCAACCAGATCCAACTGAGTTTTGAGCCAGCTACTTGTTGCACACACCACCACACCCCCTGCAGCTCCATCTCTCTGGAAAAGGAGGAGGGAGAGAGAAGAGAGTATCCTCAGGGACACAGGACTAACCTCCTCTTGCAAGTGTCCAATGTCTATTTCCCAGGGCGCTCCACGGAAGATTTCTGTGGGTGGTTCCCAGCCGTTGCGGAATTTGGGGATGTAGGTGGGGATGTTCGCGTCTCGGGGCCACTCAGCTCTAGGACACGAAGTGAGAATATGAGGTGACATTCACAAGGAATGTGTCTTTGAGAGTATCCTCTCAAAGGAGAAGCAGGAGCATCAGGACATCCAAGCATCCCATCTGCCTGGAGACCCTGAGGAGACGGCAGCTCTGTCCTCACCTGGATCTGGTCCATGTCTCCCCCAGGGAATCCCAGAGGTTTATCTCTTTGGGTGTCAGGTGTCCTCTCAGGAAATCGGTGGCATCTTTAGAAAGCAGTGGGCTGAGGACAGACCGGGCCAGCTCAGGGCCACCACAGCTATTGACGATCTGGGTCACACACAAACCACACAAAGATGTCAAACCAGGGACACACAGAGGAGCAGGAATCAAAGACAAAGCTGATCCTTGAATCAGCTCAGTCACCTAAAGAAACATCAACCTTAGTCTTTGAAGGAGACTGGACAGCTCTGGAGAGCATGAGATTTTTTTGGATTGGAGTCAAAGCAAGATCTGATATACAAATGAGCTGTTGTTACAGATAAGTGAAGTGTCACAAGCTGACACTTCAAAAAATGGAAAGTGTCTTGCTATTCCTGTGTCCTTTCTGCCTCCTTTTCCAAGTTGGGCTTTCTGCTTCCAAGCATTTTGAGTGCAAATAGTGAGCCGTGTTTGCCTGAAGGTGAGACCAGACAGATTCCCAGTGGGAACTCCAGCTGGCTGCCCCTTTTGTTCACAGTAATTCTTTATTGACTGGATGGAAAGATTCATATTTGCTGGAGTTTCCTGTATTTAGTTCAAGCTGCAGACCAGATCAGAGGCCAGAAATGACCGGCATCACTTCTGGATGTCCCTGAGAAAGCTGTGGCCAGGCATGAGCAGTTTTCTAACCCTTCTGCACAATCTGTCTGCTTGTAAGTGTGAAGTAGAAATAAAAGGAGAGTTCCCAATGAGACCTGGGAATAAGATTTACCAGTTCCAGTGGCCCAAATAGGAAATGCACTAACTCCGAAGCGCTGGGGTTCTGGATGTGCTTCCTTAATTTGGCCTGGAAAGAGAAAAGAAACACAGTTTAACCCTAACCTGAGTGTGCCTTCTCTTTTCTGTCACATGGGGGCTGTGTTGCTGGCTGATGAGAAGGGATGGGGGAGTAGGAATCATTCATTTTAATTTTGTGTCCATTTCTAATTCCTGATGAATTTCAGGAAGGGTGGAACACCCTCTCTGTTAAATCAGTGCCTTGGAAGGTAATTTGAACAGACACACAAAACCTTGGCTTATTTTGAAAGTCCTAGTGAGGAAAGGCCAGGGTTATGGTTGCTTCTGCCTATTGCAGGGTTGAGAATCCCACTAATTTCATGAATGAAAACAACAGGATAGGTGTTTTGAGGGTCCCTTGGCAGATTGCTGACAAGGAAAAGTCTCCACCACGGTCTTGTCTGTGACACCCAGAGCTGCCTTGGCCACTGAAAGGCTTCAAATCCACTGGTGTTTGAGGTGAGCTGTGGCAGAATGGAGGGGCAAACACTTAACAATTTACTGTAAGAATTGGGTTTTGGTAGCAGCAATCAGCTGAGCTGTAGTGAGAAACCTCTCCAGTCTGTGCTTCCATTCAGCTGCTTCTCCTGTCCTGGTCTCCTGGCACTGCTGCTATGAGAGACAGGAGCCTGCTCCTACTGAAATGCAAAGCATTTGAAATGCTGGAGTTTAAACATTAACATGGAATGGTAAGTGGGAAACAAATGCTGGCAGTAAGGTGACCCAATGAACTGGCACTTCCCAGGGACTTAGCAGCCATGTGGTGAGGAACGTGGCAGGGTTCCACCATGGAGTTCCAACTCTGCTCCATGCTCAACCCTGGGCTCTTGCCAGATCAGCTGTGCCTTCTGATCCTGAGCACAAATCCTTCTCAAAGAAAAGGCTGGAGCTTGGTGTCCTGCATTAAGGTTGTTTACAATCTCTGGGGTTTCCTTATTAATGACTGCCCAGGAAGGAGCTTGGAGGACGTGTTTGCTGGACAAGTTTGGTCACAACTGACAGAATTCCTGCTGCCTTGTTAACCTCCTGATCTCTTGTGTTTCACTGAACAGAGCTGGTAGCACTGGGAACATCTTTATGCTCTTGCTTTTCACCCCTTCCACAATACAGAGGGTCTGGCAGGGGAGAAAGAGAGGGGCCAGGAATATCGGGGAAATGGGGGACATCAATTACTGTCAAGCAGAGACTTCCCAGGCTGGATCTGAAAAGACCCAGGTGTTGCAACCTTCTGGCTGCTCTGTCCCATCCTGGACTTGATGCTTCTAGTTTTGTTTAACAGCTTGTCGTAGAAAACCTGCACAAGACTCACACAATGTTTGTCCTGAGTTCTGAAGAATCTGGAATTCATACTCTTGTCCCTTGTCAATGTTTTCTGTTCAAGTTTCACTCTAAACACTCACTGTTGGGATACATGGGGAAAAGCCCTGTCCCTGCATGGGATGGAAACTCCTCCATGTCTTACCAAGAGGTTAAAAGCCAATTTGGTTTTCTGGAAGCAGTCGATGAACTCAGCCTCACTTGGGGGTCTTGCTCGGAGGGTCAGCATTCCCTCTGCCAGGAGAAGGGGGCAGAGAAGGACATGTTAGTGAGAGCATCCCTTTTGGGGAGGTTTCATCTGCCTGCTGTGCAGAAGGTACAGCAGAAATGGGTGTTGAGACCATAACTACTGAAATCAGGGGTTCAGAGAAAGGCAGATTCCCTCTGTGTGCTCTGCCAGAGGTGCCCACACACAGCAGCACCTCCTGAACGGGTGTGCCTGGATCCATGGCATTGATCCGGCCTTGCTGGCCTAGGAGCTGATGTGTCCCCCCCACCTTCATGTGTGACCCCCTTGCGCTCCCAGTTTGTTGTGCTTTCTGCACTGCACCTGCTGGCCCTTTCTTCTTGTTCTTCTTCCCTTTTTTCCTTTGGTTGAGCTGTCGGAATGCCTCTGCAGCCTTCTGGAGCCGGGCGACGAACACTTCGATGTCATCCAGGGTGCAGTTCAGGATTTGCTGTGAGGACAGAAACCCAAGGGACCAATGTGAAAGCGAGCCTGGGCTGTGCATGGCTGGGAGCCTGAATCTCAGAGTCTGCTGCATTTCCTGGGAGAATGAATGCACTTGAGTGGGCAATCCAGGCATGAAATGCAGCTCAGTGCATCCCTCTGCAAGGGTCTGGCTGTGTGCTGTCCTTACCAATGTGACAAGTGACCACTGCTAATGGATGGCTGGAAAATAACCCAGGGAGGAGCAGAGCTGGAATCAGCAGAGCTGCCTCAGGTCAGAGGACATTGTCACTGACATGGTGATGGAAACTTGCTTTTGGACACCTTATCTTTATGCACAGGAGGTATCAATTGGAAAAATGCCCAGATGAAGCATTAAATGTCTGCTCATGGAGGGGCCCCTTGCTCCCTGCCTCTGCTCCTGCCTATGGACTGCAGTGTCCCTGTCACCCACCGTTTCCTTTTCAATCTTCTGTGCTAACATGGCACGGGATTCCTCATGGTCGTGAGAGCCAGAGCTTCGTCGTTCATAGTCTGCAAACAAGGGAGAGAAAAATAGATTTACTATGAGAAGCTGGAAATAGATTCCATGAAAGGGAAAAGGGAGGGATCCATGGGATGGTAGCTCCCAGCTTGGGTGTTTGTTCTGGGTTATGAGGGCACCTCAGGAATAATGTTTGTAATAGGTGCTAAATCCCAATCAACCTGCAAAAAACCCAACCTTGAGGTACCTCCCAGCTTCCAGAAGCCACATGCCCAGTGTGGGGTGATAGTCCAGTGGGAAGAATCACTGGGGTGGTCCATGATAGAAAGCAAGTGGTGTCAGCTCAGGGCAGGGGCTTAGAAAGGGCTGGAACAGCAGGATCTGCCAAGTGGAAGAAATGAAGAGGCAATTTTGGCAGAGGACCTTGACAAGTCCAAGGCATCTCTAAGTGTGGGGATGAGGTGCCTTATTGGGACAGGTTTTGTAGGAAAAATGGGAAGGCATTCCATGGAGAAAGGATCTTGGGAAACAGGCATCACTCAAGGCTTTCTTCTGTCATCTGCTCTCCTGCCAGGCTCTGTGCACTCAGAGCCAGAAATTCTTCCTGGAGGAATTCCCAGCTCTGCTGATATGCACACCTTTGGAAGGGCACAGGTAAGAGTGGCTGCTTTTCATCAGAATAGAGATGTTTATTCATGGTCCAGCTCAGAAATAGAGATATTCCTTTTATGATGCAGAACTGGGCCTGAAATAAGTTCTCCATTCAACATCTAGAGCAGTTGCTTGGCTTCAGAAGCCATCCTGGAAAAGAAGTGTTTTGGATGTGTGATAGTATCCTATTAACGTGTTTCCCTTGAAACTAGAAATGTATGCCAAGAGAAGGTGGTATGTTAGGCAGGGGTAAAAAATGCTTACAGTTTTTTCATCACTTTGATCTTTTGTCAGAGAAAGAGCTTGTTTCTGTTCCTAGGAACTTATTTCTGCTACTTCTTTCTCCAAAGGAAAATACCAAGTTTTTTCAGGCCAACTCAAATGGGCTGAAGTCAGGATGGTGTTGGAATCAGTCTTCAGATGAGCACATAAGGGTGAGTTCAGATCTGCATTTCCACACTTGACTTTACAAGAATTCATGAAAACCAGTTGATTTTTAAGGGTGAAATCTTGGCTTCTGTGAAGTCAGCAGAGCCAGGAATTTGTCTTTCTGATCAAATGTCTTGTCTGTACATTTTAAGATCGCCAACGCCTGGTTCAGGTTTCACGTGATGGCTTATGAGGGGCTTTTGCTTTTTTGGCATTTCTGTATCCCCCAAATAAGAGTGTTGTTGCAAGGAGTCTCTGGGAGTTTTATTTGTTGAGCAGAAGATGCCCAGGGCATACACCACAGACCACTTCAGGAAGGTTGGCTGTCTGCGTTAATTAGTCTCCCATCCCCAGCACAGACTTCCTGAGCACTCCCAGTACCTGGATCATGCTGGGAAGGAGGTGCCACCCTGTTCCTGTTCATTGCTGAGCCTCGCATGTCATGCTGGATCGGGATAGGAGCTGGTCCTTGAGGAGGGGGGAGGATGGATTGTCTCTGCTTGATCTTTTCCTGGTTTGCCCTACAAGGAAAATGACACAGAACAACCCCATCAGCGGCTGCACATCCCATTTCCAAGAGACTGTGTATCTAAACTACTGAAAACAAGGGTTTATTGTTGTTGCTCCCAGCTGTACCCCACAGCACTTACTTGAGTGTCTGTGGCCGTATCTTCTTCCCATGTTTGTGGTCTGCCAGGGCACTTTCTATGTCCTCATGAACCATCTCCGCCTCAAGGATAAAACAGGGATGTTTTTAAGGGCTTGGTTTAGGAAGGATTAGAGGAAGGGGGAAAGGGCAAACAGCAAGAAGTGTGTTTTGTTCTATTTCACATCAAGCAGGAAGGCTCTGCTCACCTCCACCTCATCACAGTTGAAGAAGTGGATGTCAGGTTTGTGCTGCTCAGAATCCTGACACACGAGCAGAAGGATGGAGGAATAACGCATCTGATTGAGCACTGTCTGGCAGTGCTGCACTGTCGGCAGGGGGAAGTCCTCCAGCTCCTCCTGCAAGAGAAGGGGGAAGGTGTTAGGCAATGGGGATCTATTAAACTGAAGGGGAATGGTCCTGTGCAGGAACTCCTGGGATCCCTGGGCTGATCTTCCTTAGTTTGTCATTGCTAAAACAATCCTGTTCCCATGCTGCAGGGCTGACTTTAATTCAGGAGAGGATTTTGGTAGCGATTCACCCTTGTCTGTGTTCTTTAGGACTTGCCCCCTCCCAAGCAGAATAGAAAGGGCACTCACTGCACCCCACACTTCAGTCTGGGATCAGTCCCACAGGGCTCCAGGTACCTGTGTCTCACAGTCCAGCAGCCGGATGGACTTGTCATTCACTTGCAGCAGCATCTCCTGTGTCCAGATCTTCTCTTTGGAGTTGAGAAGGATGAGTTTCCGGATTGCGTCATCCACTGTTGTGATGGACTCACTCTTGTCCATGATGAAGGTGGCCAAGTGCTGAAGTTGGGGAGAGAAAGAAGATAAAAACACATGCAAAATATTTGTTGGGGTGTGTAAATTGGTAATGAAAGCATCTCTAGAGGCTTCAAGTACCATTTGTAGTTTCTCAGAGCTGAGGAGTAAAGGCGTTGCAGCACAAAACAGTTTTGGTAGTTGGTACCAGCTGGTTGTGGCAGTGAAAGATTTGGGTTTCATAATGGGTTTTCATAACCAGTTTCACCACTTGTGTATTACTCTCATCAATTCCAGCAGGTCTGATCCCCGTCCAGTGGGGCAAATGCTTCACATACACAAGTTACTCCCCAGGCCCCTCTGAACCTGGCTTGGAAGTAGAACTATGGCAGTTGAACTAATGCTTTGCTTGCCAAGCTATAAAAGCATTTGTATTTTGCTTGTCTTGTGTAGCAAACCTGCTTGTGTGGGATTTGTGCCAGGCAAAGAGCTCACACAAACCATGGGCAAGTGTTGGTCCTCTGTGCCAAGTGGGATCCATGCGATGTGTGGGGTCCCATGCTCTGGGAACAGTTACTCCAAAGAGCTTCTATACTGCAAAGCCTGCAGGAGCTCCAAACCTGGCAGCTCACTCTACACCAGCCCTTTAAGCCCCAATTAGAGTTGGGGTTACCTTCCCCCCAGAAAGTACCCAAATCAGCCCTCACAGTAGTGAAAATGGGTGTTGCTGACTTGTAGCAAACTTTGCTTGGTTATCCTGGTTTTCCTACCTCTTTTCACCTGTCCTGTAAACCCAGCCCATGCTCTTTTCCCATCAGCCAGGCTTCCGTGCTGTCCTCCCCTCCTTCACTGCCCCATGTGTGTGTGCACTTGGGCCAGGAGCAGCTCAGCTACAGCCTAACCATCCAAGCTGCTTTCCCATCCCTGCTCCAACTGCACCCTGAAGTGTGTGGTGATCCAAGCCTTGCACCTGGCACCTGTATGTACAGAGTTTGTGTAATGGGGCACCTTTGGGCTGCTCCTGGGGCTCCATGGGAAGGGAATGTTGGGCAGGGAGGCAGCTGGGGAGAGATGTGTCACATCCAAATGTTTTGTGCCCACCAGCAGTAGGTGAAGGCCACTCCACAAGTCCAGGTGGGTAAATGCTGCTCCCTGCGGATGGTAGAACTGGTTGTGTCTGTTTGCAGAGGGGACTGCAAGGCAGGAAAAGCTGGGACTCAGAGCAGCCATGCTGTTTGCCCAGCTGCTGTCCCTGGGGCAGTGACAGCACAGCCAGGCCACATGTTCAGGTGATGGCAGGGAAGAAAAAAAAAAACAAAGGAAGGAAAATGAAAATGGTACTGTTTCACCTTGTTCTTTTGTTGCCTAGCTGTGTTCTCGGTGAGAAGGGAAGGGGAATATGCCTGACTGTCAAAAAGCAGCTGAAGCTTTTACCAACTTTCTCCAGCAGAAAAAAGCAGGAGGGTTTTGGATGGATGAGTTACAGGCCCAGTCAAGGCATCTGTGCAATCCAATGGCCTGCAACCCAGCCAGATCCCAGCTTTTTCTCTTGTCCCTGGAATATTGAAGGCCCATCTACCAGCATGACCCTCTCATGCTGGTTTCCTTGCTCAGTAGTGTACAAAACACACACTTCAGCAGCAGTGGCTAAGCTGGAGGGTCAGGAGCAAATTAACCTGTGGAGCAGGGACACCTAAGGGGTGGAGCTGCACTGGGGGGCCAGGACAGCACTGTGGCCACCCCAAAAATGGTCCTGCTGGGCATTCAGAGTTTGTGGGGAGGACAGCAGTGAAATGCCTGCTTCTCTTTGATGCACACATCCTATAGTTTGGTTCCAAAGCAAGAGCTGAAAAAACAGGACGTGTTTTAAAGCAAGTCCTAAATTGATGGGAAATTTGTAGTAAAGGGATGAGTTTTGCCTGGATTTTCTCCCTTTGATTCCATGTCTTCCTGCCTTCTCCAGTGATCAGACATAATGTTTTTATGGATCAAGTAGCTTCTTTCTGGTGCTGATGCATTCATGAGCTGATTCAGTAACCCAGTGGGTTACTGAACATGTGCATCAGTGAGCCATGGAGAAGGATGAGAGAGTTGTTGGGAAAGAATTCCTTTCTTCCTGTAGAAGCCCAGGTAAATGCAAAGTGGGAAGCAGATTAAGAGGCAGCAAAAACTGGTGCTGCTCCAGCATGTCCTGCTGTGGGACTGGAACCTTGGAGAAGCTGTGGATTTTAGGGTCTGACACAGACCAGATGGACCCGAGAGGGATGAGTGCACTCAGAGCACAGAGCCTTGGATGCTTGTGAGGAAGCACAAGCAAGAACTGTTGTTGCAGTTGGCTTCACATAAGGTGGATGCAGGGAAAGGCTTGGATTTAAAGCACTGGTAGACCCAACTGGCAGAAAGTCTTTAAACATGCTCTTGGGCATTAGGGGTGAATAAGGGTTTGTGGTGACCCATTTGCTGTTAGATGATTCCCAAAGACTGCAGGAAGAAGCAGAGGACAATGCAAGGGCCCATTCTTGTGTTCATAAAGCAAAGGTATGGGGCGAGGCACTGTCTAAATAGAACTCCTGGCAGGTGTGTGAGCTGAAAGCTGAGATTAGCAATGCAATCACAAATGAAAAACATGCTGGGTGTATGTTACTGTAATTGTAAAATAGTGCTTGGGAAGGTATTTGCCAAGTCAGTTTTATCTGTACAGAGGTGACAAGCCCTCTTCTTTCAGACCAGTTAGGAGAATGGGTTTACTTAAGATGACAGGCATTTTTATCTCTTTGATAAGAGATAAATTTTATTTTATTAAGAGATAGATTTTATTTTATCCACCACCTTTACAAGCTTCATAAATTCCTTTGCTGTTTACTGTTCAGTTAGTTTTCATGGAGGGGGAGCTACTTGTCTGACTCAATCATCAGAATATTTTTCTGCTTTCCATTTTCTGTAGATATGGGTGGATTGAGAGGGAGAAGCTTGCTGCTGTCTTTGTTTTATCCCTTAAAACCCCTTTTCATCCAGATGGACATTTAAATACAGCAGCTTTTACTAGAATGGGCAATGACTCCATCCACCGTTAAACTTTGATCAGATTACTTCAAAGGATGTAAAATGCCTCCTATGAGAAAACCTCATTATATCTCACTACCTGCCACCGCAATCCTGTTTGCCTTGGTCAAAGTTCAGGGGAGAGACTCACAAACGGGTGGCTTATGGTGTAATTAATGAAGAATTCATTTACATGTCACCGTTTAAAGTCCCTTCTCTGCATCCATGAGTGACTTCTGAGCCACTGAGTTGGTTTCTCCGATGGAAACCAGGACCTCTTTCCAAACAGGCACTTTACAAGTCTAAATGTAGGCTTTTAAAGGGCCCCATCTCCTAAATATGAACCTCAGGAAGTGTTTTCCTGTCTCACCTTGCTCAGTTTTCAATGATGAATGGCCCCACCTCGTCCACAGAGTCCTGCACCTCCAAGTCGCATTACAGGAATTACCAAGCTCAGGATGGCCAGGATGGCTTCTCTTTTTGGGGTGGGTGGGAGATGGATTTGGCTTACTGCCTGTCTTGTGTGAAGGGGTTTGTGTTACCTGAGAGGACACAGTAGCTGAGGAGAGCTGAAAGCTGATAGTCCATGTGGTCTCTGTTGTTTGGAAAGCTGAGTTCTGGAAACCACCACGGGAACTCTGCTTTTAACCTGTCTGTGCTGATCAGAAGGGTTTGAAGCACAGGGTGACAGGAGGGACAACATTTCCTGCTCCCCTTCAGATACAGAGAAGGGAGAAGACAGCAGCTTCTACATTTCCTCTTTCCTTGTACGAAATTTCCCTTGTTGATTTAAATCTTTTTATCTCCCCATTTTCCTTCACTCAGTGACTTTAGATTTTAATGGTAAAGGGGTTCCCAACTCCCCCTTGGCCTCCTGAAGATCTAGGACACAGGGACCACATTACACTACAGGCACCTATCACTGACCTTGGCCCCTCAGCCCTTTAGCAACTCCATTGCGTGTATGTGCTCACCTGGACGTGGTACTGGGAAGTCTCGTGCATAATGACGTTGGAGTTGGAGTATTTTTTCCTTTGTTCTGTAAGAAACAAGAAAAGAAGCATTGGTTGTTTTTCTTTGGATCTGAGAATTACAACTCTGAGTCTTTCTCACAATCCCTGAGTTTCCAGCTCGGGCTCCGCGGGAGTTGCCAGCAGGTGTCTCTCCAGAACAAGCATTGTATTTCCTTGAGCTTTGCCTTGGGGATTTCACCTTTCTCCTTGGCCAGCCAAGAGCTTTTAAATCGAGCTCCTCTTGGTGCACTGGGCTGAGCACAATCCTGCGTACTGATCACCCGAAGATATCCCAGCGATAAGGATCACGAAAAGTTGCCGCTGCTCTTCCTTGGAGCCCGGCAAGGGCGGGTAGAAGCTAATTCAAGCCGATTTCTGAAGTTTTTTAACACTTATCCTAACACTCTTTAGGCTGTGCCATCAGTTTGGCAGGACACACGAATACTTGTAGCTCTGCGCCTGGCTGAAAACACAACAGTGTTTTGCCTCTCTGCCTGATTGCTGACAGACCTGGAGTGGTGGCTGTTCCCCAGTAGAAGTGATTTATTGATTTATTGGTGGGAATATTGGCAGAGGCATTAATGGAGACTGCAGGGCTCTGAGCCCATGTCTCACCAGCACCAGCTCAGAGGTGGAGTGAGCATGGTTCAGGGGAAAGACCTCAGACAGCCAGCCCAGTTCCCTGCTCAGCCATTCCAGACTGACCTTGAATAACCGAATTAACATTGCAGCGCGGCCCCTTCCCACCTCAGGCTGGCAGGAAAGGCTCAGTGGCACTTTCTGGTTGCTGGGGGCTTTAATTGCAGTCTGTCCTACTTGAAATGTGGGGCAAGGTCTGGGATAGGGCACAGGCAGCGCATCCCACAGGGATTTGGGGCTGATGTGAGGCACTTTTTTCCTCTCAGTAACCTCAATTTCCTCCCTGAGCATTTCTCATGTAAATAGATGACACTGATGGAAATGAGAACACCGCATTCGTGTGGGATGGAGGCAGATTTGGGTTTTAAGACATCCCATCCCCTCCTTTTCCAAAGGGAGTGGAAAAGGATGAAGTGGGTGGTCTGGAAACAAAGGGAGTTTACATTCGGACAGGCAAATGTCTCCAGCCCTGAGAGGAAGGGTGCAGAGCTGTGCTGGGAACTGGTAGTCCCTGAGGGAGGGAAGGAATACCAGGGGAATGAGGTTTCCACTGGGAGGCTAACTGCTGCCCTGACCACTGCTACAGCCCCATGGGCTGCTTTCCTGGTAGGAAAACAACCCATGGAGCTGTAGCAGTAGCCAGGGCAGCAGTTGGTTGTTCCCAGACTCTCTGGGATCCCTTCAAATGCCTTTTCCCCTTCCTCCAAGCTCAAAGAAACTGCACGTGTCGCAGTCAGGGGAGATCTCAGTATGCACTGCTGAGAAAATGTTCAGAGAAGCCCTTGGAAGTTTTGGGGACTGGCCTAAACCTCAGAACTCTGCATAGCCCAACTTCCCATCACCTGCACTCAGTGAGTGCAAGAGAGCAAAGGCCGCTTTAGCCCTTTGCAGCGTTGTTCAGACAGCAGCAAGCCCTGGGACAGGGAGAAATGCAGATGTTTCCCCTCCCTCTGTTGATTTTTCCCTGGGGGAATTTCTGCATTACCTCCACAAGTCACAGAACTAGAACAAAGTGCCTCTATTTTGTCTACTGATGTCATTGAAGTGATGTCCCAGAAGCTGCCCAGGGCAAGAAGTGGGGTGTTTCTGTATGTTCTCCTGAAATCCCTTCTGTTTCCTTGGCTTCTACCTGGCCCCCACACCCATGGAAACTTTCCTTTTTGTGTTTCCTGCTGGCACCCTCAAATAAGACCACGAGGTCTGGAACCAGCCAGACTTTCTGGGGACAGCAGGGTGCCAAAACACTGAAATCTGCTTCTTTCCTAACACTTAGTTTTGATTTAAACACAGGAAGAATTAAAGATCCAGGCTGCAGATCATGAAAGAGTCAGGTTTGAGCCACATCTGTCCAAGGAGCATGGGTGCTTTGAAGAAAATGAGTATTTTTTTGGTTTATTTACTCAAAACAACGTGGTGAAACACTGCAGGGTTTTCCAAGATGCATCATTATTTGTCTTCAATTAAATCTGACTCTGGTGGGGCTGGGCTGATCCCAAAATGCTTTTAGGAAGAAGTTCTTCCATGTGCTGAGGCCCTGGTGCAGGTTTTCCAGAGCAGCTGTGGCTGCCCCATCCCTGGATGTGTCCAAGGCCAGGTTGGACCGGACGTGGAACGACCTGGGATAGTGGAAGGTGTCCCTGTCCATGGCAGGGGATGGCATGAGATAGGCTTTAAGGTCCCTTCCTTAAACCCCAACCATTCTGTGAATAATGCCTATAGCAAAATCTGTGGCTGTTTGACTCCTCAGCCAAGGGGACTTTCCCTTGCCCAGGTGAACTCCCTTGGCCAGCCATACCTCAGAAGGCAGGTCAGCTGTCCTGTGTGGCTCCACCCTGCCCTTCTGCACAGCCTTGTCCCTGACTTGCTGAATTTTGTATGAGTGCATGCTGGCCTGTTAGCAGCAGCAGCAGCAGCAGCAGCTCATTTCCTCCCACTTCATCTGACACCTCACACCGGGACACTTGGCATTTCTACAGCGTCCTGCAACAGGACCTCTGCACTTTCAGGTGTTATCTGACCCCTAACCTGGCCCCAGGATGTGGAGAATTTGCATAATTCCCATAATTCCCATAATTCCCATGTGATAGATGAGCATTGCAGGAATATAGTGATGATTTCCCCAAATTAGCTCAGACACCCATCTGCACCTCTGTTTATTTCCTGCTGTGACCTTCAGAGTCTGGCAGTGGAGCACTCTGGATATAACACAGGCAAAGGGCAGGGAGAGCTCCAGGGCTGTGGCACCGGTACAACAAACATCCAGAGGTGATAAAGCTGGCACGAGCCCACAGTGACCACCACTGTCCTTTTTCCCTTTTGTCTGCCAAGGGAGCCAAAGAGATGGGAAAACAATACAGCTTTGTCCTGTCCTTTGCATGTCTGGCACGAAAAAAACCCAACTCATAGCAGGTACCCTGGCAGGTGCTGGTGGGATCCCCTGTGGCCTGAGGAGCAGTTGTGCTGATCCCAGACACTTGCTGTATGTATGGGATGGGGGATCCAGAAAGCTTTGAATGCCTTGAGCTTGGATAACACATGGGACACGCACACCCTCTGGTAAATTGTCTCATCTCTTGCCTCTCAGGGTCTGGCCCAGTGATCCCTAAAACAATCCTTTGAGAGGAAAAGCCCCTATAAATGGTTCTTTAATGGAATTCACTTCAGTTCTCTCCTAACCAGGTAGCTTTAATCTTGCCTCACACCCAGAGGAGTGGGGAAAATGGAAACAAATGTTATCTACCACGGGTATCTTACAGATAAAAAGTGTTGTGGGAATGGCATTTCCATTCCAGGAAATGGGAAGAGCTGAGACCATTGCAGAGGTACAAGGTGGTACCTGAGGGCTCAAAACAGTGCTGCACTGAAATCCCAGTAATGATACTAAAATCTTGGCTGGCAGGGAAAGAGTCCTGTTTGGCTTTATGTTAAAGAGTGGAAAGGATGAAAGAAAGTAATAAATGAGGAAAAAAAGCAGGATCAATGCACATCCTGGAGGGCTGGGGTTATCAGCTTGGTCCAGGAAGCCAAAGCACATCTTTAGTGCCAAGTTCCCTCCCCATTTCCATGCAAAACCTTATTTAGCAGGGAGCTGGGACGTGGCTGCAAATGCTCCGTTCAATGAGCACAGGAGATCAGCTAGTGGGATAAACTGCCCGTGGGACCAGCTTACAGCCAGGATAATTGGTTAAGGTCTTTGGGACTTAATGAGCAGTGCCAAGGAGGGCAGGAGCAGGCTTGTCTTTCTCCAAGCACAGCTTCTGTCAAGTCAGAGGGGCAGAGCACCCCCAGTAACAACCTGCCAGTGGCCCCTGCCTCCCCTCCAGGCACATCTTCCTCTAATTAATTAGTTTTACCACACAGGATCCTACCTGATCCTCCCTGTCCCTCCCCACATTTGTTTACAGCTGTTGCCGGGCAAAAGGCACAGCAGAAGACAGGGGGATGTATAGACAAGTACAGAGCAGTCTTTGAGGAATGAGAGGTATTGAATTTGTTTTCCTTGGCAGCGCCATACCAAGGACCTCTCCTCCATTCCCTGAATCACACTGCTGACCTCTCCAGCCTCTACATCCATTACAGCAGCCTAAGGGAAGTCTTGGCAGTTACTTGAGAAGCTTGCCAGTTCCTTATATAATCTTTACATTATCTATACATTATCTAGCAGCGCGCAAGCTGTTTATAGGAACCTGCCAGCATAGCATGAGCTGCTCTGTGCCAAATGGCAGGTCAGGACCAGCCTGCTGAGGAGAAATGGGGCAGCAAATGCTCTGTGTGCTCATGGCAGCCACAGAAACCTGCCAGGCTGGCTTACAGAGTAGCAGTATGGAATAACCTCCATTCCAGGATCCCAGCGTGGGGCCAGATGTGGCAGTTGAACACAGCATCTGCCACGTTCCTGCTTCCTCACACATGTAGGAGGATGGGATGTTCCAGATTACCCAGGGTTAGTCAAGGATCTGGTTTTGGGCCTAACCTGTTGTGCCTGAGCTCCTGACGGGAGAATCTGCAGGTCCTGCCTTGCTCCTTCCGTGTTCTCTATGGCCAGCACAGAGACAGCTCCATTTAGGGATATCTTTGCAGTTTAGGGAGCATTGAGCATGTAGTTCTTAGATCCATGGTACTTGCTGAACTGCTGGAGCTGGAGTTGGTCTCTACTGGCACCTGTGGCACTGGGAATGTCTGCCTGGTCAACTCTCACTCATGGCTAGTGTGTGCAGATGGATCTGGAAGCTCTTGGAGTGAATGAACAGCTCTCATTGAAGTGTGAATGGGCTGTGGCAGCAGGGAGCAGCAGCTCTGGGTTTCACACAGCTGAATTCCTGCTCGGCACGCTTCATATTTGCCACGGCTCAGCCCCAAGTGCTCACATTCCTGGTTTATTAGCTGA